TTTACACAATTGATGTGTGTATGGATTGGGATAACAGTTGTATGAGCCCCTAATAAAATGTTAAAAAAGAGAAGAAAAGAAAAAAAAAGACTGTGGTCAGGCCACTGTAAATATTTATTTTTATCTGGACACACTGACCAACCATTGGGCTTTTGGAATCAGATAACATTGTCTCTTACCCAACTACCATCAGGTGACTTGGGGCAAATTACTTAACTTCTCTAATCCTTAATTTCCTCATTAGAAAAAGGATAAAATAGCATCTATCTATCTTGTGGGACTGACACGAGCGATGGATGATGCAAAGCACCTTGCAGAGTGCCAGGTAGGCTTCGATCCCTGCCCCAAAGTATTAGGTGCAATCGGGTCATCGAATCACTACTGGTCTCAAAAAACGCATTGCCAGAGGCGATTCGGACACAGAGAGGCCCTATCGGACAAAACAGAACTCCCCACGAGGTTGTTCAAGACTGTAAATCTTCAAAGGAACAGAAAGCTCCATTTTTCATCACGACCCTCCCCCCACCCCACCCCAATTGGCGGGCGCATGCAAGTGGCTGACCTTCTCAGTAGCAGTCCAACTCGAGACCCACTACCCCACCAGGGCTCCCACTACTTGCCCATCCCACCCCCACCCCCCAAAACAAAACAAAACTCACATACACACACAACTCACTGCCCTCCAGCCAATTCCTATGCAACCTTCTAGGTCAGAGAACTGGCCCGGTGGGTTGACAGTCTTAACAACGGAGTAGAAAGCCTCATTCTACTCTTAACAATCAAAGCAACTGAGGTGTGCAAGTTCATTTGCACGGAGACATGCAGGTTAATTTGCCCGAAGTCTCGTAAAACTCTGCCACAGAGTCGATCCCGGCTCCTGGCGACCCTACGGGTCTTAAAAGCTTCGACTCCCACACCCTGAGCTAGTTATTGCCGGATGCGACGTTCCGCAGACTCGCTACCAGCCAGCGGGCAGCGTGCCCTATGCCTTCCCCGGGCGAGGCTGCATTTTAAGGGGCGCCTCGAGAAAGGGACGGCGAGATCCACAAGAATTGAGTTCCTCGTGGAATGAGTTGGCTCGGTAAACTCCAACGGGCTCGCCACCCGGACAAGTTCACTCCGGGGCCTCGGTGACCTTGCCGCCGTCTCCACGTGCCACGCGCGCCGGGGCGCCTAAAAATACCACCCTCCGTGATCGGCACGACAAGCGCCGTCATCCGTCGGAACCACAGAAATCACAGCCCAGGCCCGCGGCTCGTTTGGCGGGTGACGGATTACGCCCTTCCGACGATCTGGAGTCCATTGAGCGTTCGCCGTCCGCCCTGTCAGGCCTCCGACCGGTGCGGACAGACACGTGAGGCGGCCCCGGTGCTAGAGACCCATTTCTGGAGCTTACTTCTGCCGGCCCGGAGTCAACCGGGGACTCTTCCAAGCCATATCCTGTGACGGTCACACGGCTTTTCCCCGCCCCCACGCCCCAGGTGACGGAAAACTCGTGACCGTCCTGCAGCGGGGCGGGC